CCCCTGTTTCATCTTCCAGCCCCACCTGTCCTGTGCCTCGCTGGGAAGGTTTTATATATATTTGTGACAGATGGACTCTGGTGCCTTTTATTACCCTGGGTATTATTATGCAAAAATAATCTGTTTCTATGAGAACTGAAAAAGGGAATTTCAGGACTTTGGTTTTTATTTAATAACTCAAGAAATTGAGCATTTTTTCATGGCAGCTAAACGTACATTCCTGGTTCTGTAAATGATCTGTCAATGCCCTTTACCATTTTCTTTTCCTTTTCAACCTTTACTGTATTACCTTTGTTGACTGTAGAAATTAGTAAAAGTTAAGCAATAAAGTAGCAATCATCTAAAGCCATGCTAAACTTAGTCATGTTAAATATTTGACTTTGTGGCCTTTCAGGAGGTTTTCCCTCAGATGTATACTATATGGGCCAACATGGAGATTTTCCCATAGTTTTTCACACAGCAGCTCCACCAGGGAGACATCATCAGTAAGGATCAACTGCATCCCCCAGCAAACCCCAGAGAACTACAGTGTAAACATGGATAGGACTTTGTTTACCTTCAGGGATGCAAGCTCATAGCTCTCTGCACTGCCATTCTAGGGTGGGATGGCCCAGAATTGCTGCTAGTGCCCCAGCCATCACATACACATTGTGGGTAGCAAAGAGAAAGAAAGGGAGAAGGGTGCACACCCTCCTTATTCATGAGACTGCTCAGAAACCACACACAGTTTTTTTTCTGTAGATATCATTGCCTAATATGTAGTCATAGAGGGAATCCAGCTATTAGGGAGACTAGGAAAGATAGCCAATAGCCTTCTGTGTGGAAACATGGCTGCCCCACTCCCAGCTCACAGTGAAGACAGACACGGACCCTCTGAGGGAACCCACCTCACCCATAGCAGTGCCCTTCATGGATCCTTGAAATTATGATGGGGGTCATTAAGTCATTTGTGCACAACCCTGCATGGGACCCAGAAGGCCATAGAATCCTAATCTGCCTTCCACACCCTCTTATCTCCAGCCCAGGCCTCAAGGTTGCCTTCAAGTCCCCTCCCTGTCCCTTTGGCTTCTGGAAATAGGAGGAAAAGGGATCCGGAGAGAGTCAACCCTGGGCCTTCCAGAGCAGGATGGGGCTTCTTAGAGAGAGGTTCTTCACCTCTGAGAGGTGAACAAGCACCCTTTGAGAACTGAACAAACACCATTGGTCATCTCCTCAGAAAATGCACATTGTCAGAGGGGCACACAAGATAGCGGTGTGAGAAGGGTGGCAGAACTCTCCTCCCAAAACCATATATATTTTGAAAATACAGCAAAAACAACTATTCCTAAAAGAGAGACCAGAAGATACAGTGCAACAACCAGGCTACATCTACATCTGCAGGAACTCAGCATCTCGCGAAGGGGGTAAGATACAAAGCTGTGACCCCGTGGGACCCGAGCACTCCCCCTACCCTAGCTCACCAGCGGGAGGAAAAGAATCAGAGTGTGGAGGGAGTGGAAGCACAGGACTGCTAAATAAACAGCCCTAATCATCTGCCCCAGGAGCACAGACACACAATGCATGGTGTACTGGATATTAGAGAAATGGAAAAGTAAAATGCGAGACAGAGACTGAGAGTGCATCCCCATAGCTGGCTCCCCTGGGACAAAAGAAAAGAGGGTGCTTTAAAAGTCTTAAAGGGACAAGGGTTTAACAGGTGGACAAAATCGTCCCAGCACCCTCAGCCCGGCAGACTGGGAATCTTAAGGAACTTCAGGAGCCCTAACCCCCTGGGTGGTAATGCAGCTCCGAAGCCCCTCATGGCAATAAGCAGCCAGCCATTCATTCCCTCCCCCCGCCAGCACTGCAAGCAAACAGGCTGAACCACCATTGCTGCAGACCAACCAGGGAGCAGCCCTGCCCACAGCAACCACACAGAGTCTTCTCCCAGTGCACAGCTAAGTGGGCCAGACCCAGAAGTTGTCCCCTGTGTGTGGCTGCCTAGCATGGCTGGCACAAAATCCAGAAGGCATGAAGGGGCACCGTTCTCACAGAAGAACACACGCTGCATGCCTGCAACCCCAGGCAGTGTCCTAGGCCGTCCCAAGGGTCGCCCCACCCATGGCATCTCAGGGAATTAACCCTTCCAGAGCAGGATGGGGCTTCTTAGAGAGACTGCTCCCTGTGTGCAGGTAACCAGAACAAGCAGCAGAGAAGGGCGAGGCGACCAGCAAGCAGGAAGGGACTTTGTTCTCCCAGCTGACACACATGCCACTTGCCAGAGATCACTTCTATTGCATGAAAAGGCAGAAGAACCTGGTCCAGTCCAAAATTACTCAAACACAAGAGAGTGGGCCTGGCGAGATAGATATAACCAATCTCTCTGAAAAATAATTCAAAATAAAAGTTAAAACCATGCTGATGGAGCTACAGAGAAATATGCAAGAGCTAAGGGATGAAGTCTGGAGGGAGATTACAGAAATGAAACAATCAATGGAAGGACTTAAGAGAAGACTGGATGAGGTGCAAGAGACTGTTAATGGAATAGAAATCAGAGAACAGGAATACAGAGAAGCTGAGACACAGAGATAAAAGGATCTTAGGAATGAAAAAATATTAAGAGAACTGTGTGACCAATCCAAATGAAACAATATTTGCATAATAGGGGTACCAGAAGAAGAGGAGGGAGAAAAAGGGATAGAAAGTGTCTTTGAAGAAATAATTGCTGAAAACATCCCCAAGTTGGGGAAGAAAATAGTCTCTCAGACCATGGAAGCCCACAGATCTCTCAACACAAAGGACCCAAGGAGGACAACACCAAGACATACAATAATTAAAATGGCAAAGATCAAAGACAAGGACAGGGTATTAAAGGCAGCCAGGGAGAGAAAAAAAATCACCTACAAAGGAAAACTCATCAGGCTATCATCAGACTTCTCAAAAGAAACCCTACAGACCAGAAGAGAATGGCATGATATATTTAATGCAATGAAACAGAGGGCCTTGAACCAAGAATACTGTATCCAGCATGATTATCATTTAAATTTAAAGGAGGGATTAAACAATTTCCAGATAAGCAAAAGTTGAAGGAATTTGCCTCCCACAAACCACCTCCACAGGGTATTTTAAAGGGACTGCGCTAGATGGGAGCACTCATAAGGGAAAATAGATGTCAACAGAGAAAATAAAATCACAGCAAAGAAAGCAGATCAACCAAATACTAACTAAAAGCAAANCCACAAATCCAAAGCCTGCAGTGGCAATAAGTACATATCTATCGATAATCACCCTAAATGGATGGAATGCACCAATCAAAAGACAGAGTAACAGAATGGATAAAAAAGCAAGACCTATCCATATGCTGCTTACAAGAGACTCACCTCAAACCCAAAGACATACACAGACTAAAAGTGAAGGGATGGAAAAAGATATTTCATGCAAACAACAGGGAGAAAAAAACAGGTGTTGCAGTACTTGTATCAGATAAAATAGAAGTCAAAACAAAGAAAGTAACAAGAGATAAAGAAGGACATTATATAATGATAAAGGGGTCAGTTCAACAAAAGGATATAACCATTTAAAATATATATGCACCCAACACAGGAGCACCGACATATGTGAAACAAATACTAACAGAATTAAAGGAGGAAATAGAATGAAATGCATTCATTTTAGGAGATTTTAATACACCACTCACTCCAAAGGATACATAAACCAGACAGAAAATAAGTAAGGACATAGAGGCACGGAACAACACACTAGAAGAGATGGACCTAACAGACATCTACAGAACTCTACACCCAAAAGCAGCAGGATACACATTCTTCTCAAGTGCACATGGAATATTTTCCAGAATAGACCACATACTAGGCCACAAAAAGAGCCTCAGTAGATTCAGAAAGATTGAAATTCTACCAACCAACTTCTCAGATCACAAAGGTATAAAACTAGAATGAATTGTAAAAAGGAAACAAAAAGGCTCACAAACACATGGAGGCTTAACAACATGCTCCTAAATAATCAATGGATCAATGACCAAATTAAAATGGAGATCAGGCAATGTATGTAGACAAATGACAACAACAGCACAATGACCCAACTTCTGTGGGACGCAGAGAAAGTAGTTCTAAGAGGGAAGTATATAGCAATCCAGGCCTATTTAAAGAAGGAAGAACAATCCTAAATGAATAGTCTAAAGTCACAATTATTGAAACTGGAAAAAGAAGAACAAATAAAGCCCAAAGTCAGCAGAAGGAGGAATATAATAAAAATCAGAGAAAAAATAAATAAAATTGAGAAGAATAAAACAATAGAAAAAAATCAATGAAACCAAGAGCTGGTTCTTTGAGAAAATAAACAAAAGAGATAAGCCCCTAGCCATACTTAGTAAGAGAAAAAGAGGATCTATGCACATAAACAGAATCAGAAAGGAGAAAGGGAAAATCATAATGGACCCCCAGAAATACAAAGAATTATTAGAGAATACTATGAAAATCTATATGCTAACAAGCTGGACAACTTAGAAGAAATGGACAACTTTCTAGGAAAATACAACCGTCGAAGACAGGCCAAGGAAGAAACAGAAAATCTGAAGAGACCAATTACCAGCAATGTAATTGAATCGGTAATCAAAAAACTACCCAAGACAAAACCCCTGGTCCAGATGGATTCACCACTGAATTTTGTCAGACATTTAGTGAGGACATAATACCCATTCTCCTTAAAGTTTTCCAAAAAATAGAAGAAGAGGGAATACTTCCAAACTCATTCTATGAAGCCAGCATCACTCTAATACCAAAACAAGGCAAAGACCCCACAAAAAAAAGAAAACTACAGATGAATATCCCTGAATAACATAGATGCAAAAGTACTCAACAAAATATTAGCAAACCGAATTCAAAAATATATCAGGAAGATTGCTGGAGTCCAGCTCCAGCGAGTCCAGGAGTCCCTGAAGGAGGAACGGCATCGGCAAATGAGTGAGGACACAGACACTAGCAAAGATGCCAAGCTGGCCTGGCCTGTTTATTGACAGAAACCTCAGGCAATATGTAGGGGATTGGTTACATGAAATCATCATAAAATCATCATAGGCATATGTCATTCAGTGATTTATGGCATAATCTACTTCTCGGAAAGTTCCCCATTTTCCCAACTATGGAAGTTCATCACGTTTTCTTCTTCAAGATTACTCTCATACCTTTAGATTCTAATCTCAGGGTAAATTTCCACAAGGCATCACAATGTTTTCTGAGTGTGTCTTGAAAGTTGTTTAACTGGACTCTTGCTTAGGCTCACTGTTGGGGGATGTTTTTTCCATAGTTACCTAAAACCATTTACAGTAGAATGAGCATCATTCATTCCATTGATCTTGACTATAAGAATGTATACTGTAATTTCTATAGTAATGATTTATAAGGGAAATTTACCAAGATTTTTCTACCTGTTTTCCTGACCCACACCTCATGTTAGTCACCTCTTGTTTTTCCTGGGGGCCAAATTGGCCAGGGAGACGTACCCTGAAGTCACCTGAACTTTCTTCTATTTCCTAACCCAGGGATAATAACCCACCAGCTTGAGGGGAATGTGCAGGGTCACAAGCTGAGTTTTATGGTTGCTTTATGACTCCTAACAGTCTTTTCTCTGGGGTCTTGTTCTGATTCATGAGGGCTGTTCGGATTGGCATAATGATCAAATTAAGCAATAGAAGAGATATCAGTAGCTTCCCCTCTGGAGGCCCACTGTGCAGCATCCATCCACGGGCCTACTGGGCGGTGCTATCAGGCAGGTGGAGTAGGTTGGCTCCTGGCCCATGATCAAATGGGATTTATCTCAGGGATGCAAGGATAGTACAACATTCAAATATCCATCAGTATCATCCACCACATCAACAAAAAAAAGGAGAAAAACCACATGATCATCTCAATAGATGGTAAAAAAGCATTTGACAAAATTCAACATCCATTCATGATAAAAACTCTCAACAAAATGGGTATAGAGGGCAAGTATGTCAACATAATAAAGGCCATATATGAAAAACCAACAGCCAATATCATACTTAACAGTGAGAAGCTGAAAGCCTTTCCCTAAGATCGGGAAGAAGACAGGGATGCCCACTCTCCCCACTTTTATTCAACATAGTTCTGGAGGTCCTAGCCAAGGCAATTAGACAACACAAAGAAATAAAAGGCATCCAGATTGGTAAGGAAGAAGTTAAACTGTCCCTATTTGCAGATGACATGATATTATATATAAAAAACCCTAAAGACTCCACTCAAAAACTACTAGAAATAACATCTGAATTCAGCAAAGTTGCAGGATTCAAAATTAATACACAGAAATTCATTGCATTCCTATACAGGAACAATGAACTAGCAGAAAGAGAAATCAGGAGAACAATTCCATTCACAAATGAATCAAAAAGAATAAAATACCTAGGAATAAACCTAACCAAGAAGTGAAAGACCTATACCCTGAAAACTACAAGACACTCTTAAGAGAAATTAAAGAGGACACTAACAAATGGAAATTCATCCCATTCTCTTGGGTAGGGAAGAATTAATATTGTCAAAATGACCATCCTGCCTAAAGCAATCTATGGATTCAGTGCAATTCCTATCAAAATACCAATAGCATTCTTCTGGAACAAATAGTTCTAAAATTCATATGGAACCACAAAAGATCCCAAACAGCCAAAGCAATCCTGAGAAGGAAGAATAAAGCAGGAGGGATCTCGCTTCCCAACTTCAAGCTCTACCACAAAGCCACAGTAATCAAGACAATTTGGTACTGCCACAGAACAGACCCATAGACCAGTAGAACAGAATAGAGAGTCCAGATATTAAGCCAAACATACATGGTCAATTAATATATGATAAAGGAGCCATGGATATAAAATGGGTAAATGATAGCCTCTTCAACAGCTGGTGTTGGCAAAACCAGACAGCTACATGTAAGAGAATGAATCTGGATTACTGTCTAACTCCATACATAAAAGTAAACTCAAAATGGATCAAAGACCTGACATAAAACTCTTAGAAGACAACATAGGCAAAAATCTCCTGAATATAAACATGAGCAACTCCTTCCTGAATACATCTCCTTGAGCAAGGGAAACAAAAGTAAAAATGAACACATGGGACTACATCAAACTAAAAAGCTTCTGTATAGCAAAGGACACCATCCACAGAACAAAAAGGGATCCTACAGTATGGAAGAATATATTTGTAAATGACATTTCTAACAAGGAGTTAACATCCAAAATATATAAAGAACTCACACACCTCAACATCCAAAAAGCAAATAACCCTATTAAAAAGTAGGCAGAAGATATGAACAGACAATTCTCCAAAGAAGAAATTCAGATGGCCAACAGCACATGAAAAGATGCTCCACAACAGTAATCATCAGGGAAATGCAAATAAAAACCACAATGAGATATCACCTCACACCAGTTAGGATGGCCAGCATCGAAAAGACTAAGAATACAAATGCTGGTGAGGATGCAGAGAAGGGGGAACCCTCCTACACTGCTGGTGGGAATGTAAGCTAGTTCAACCATTATGGAAAGCAATATGGAGGTTCCTCCAAAAACTCAAAATAAAAATACCATTTGACCCAGGAAGTCCACTCCTAGGAATTTACCCAAAGAATACAAATTCTCGGATTCAAAAAGACATATGCACTCCTTTGTTTATCACAGCACTATTTACAATAGCCAAGATATGGAAGCAACCTAAGTGTCCATTAGTAGATGAATGGATAAAGAAGATGTGGTACATATACACAATGGAATACTATTCAGCCATAACAAAGAAACAATCCTATCATTTGCAACAACATGCATGGAGCTAGAGGATATTATGCTCAGTGAAATAAGCTGGGTGGAGAAAGACAAGTGCCAAATGATTTCCCTCATTTGTGGAGTATAACAATGAGGCAAAACTGAAGGAACAAGACAACAGTAGACTCACAGACTCCTAGAAGGGACTAGTGGTTACCAAAGGGGAGAGGTAAGGGGATTGAGAGGCATTATGTTTAGTACACATGGTGTGGGTGGGTCATGGGGAAGACAGTGTAGCACAGAGAAGGCAAACAGTGAATCTGTGGCATCTTACTACACTGATGGACAGTGACTGCAATGGGGTATTGGGGGGACTCGATAATAAAGGTGAATGTAATAACCACATTGTTTTTTCAAGCACAACCTTAATAAGAGTGTATATCAATAATACCTTAATACAAAAAAAAAAGGAATGAAGTGGTAATATATGCTACAACACAGACGTACCTTGAAAACACTGCCACATGAAAGAAGCCAGTCACAAAAGACCACACAGTATATGATTCCATTCATATGAAATCCAGACTAGGGATATATAAAGAGACAGTCAATTAATCGTTGTTTAAAGCTGGGCAGACAAGGGTTAGAAGGTGATAGCTAGGTCAAGAAACAGGCTTTCTTGTTGAGATAATGAAAATCTAAAATTTAATGTGGTAATGGTTGTACATATCTGTGGATATAGGTAGGTGAACTATGGTATACAGATTGTATCTTAATAAAGCTGTTTTATAAGCAGGAAATACATATATATACATACAATTAAGATGAATGACAGCAATAATGCAGGTGGGAGGAGTTAATGGAGTTAAAATATTCTAAGGTTCTAGCAATATCAGAGCATTGGTGAAAGTAATAATTTGTATTAGACTATATCTTGGTTTCCAGTCCCCCAGAAGCCAACTCTGAAACAAGGATTTAGTACAAGCCATTGGGGAGTTCATCCCTGGAAACTGAAAAGAGAGAGGGGATGTGGGGCAGGGGCAGGATGGACCACAGAAGCATGCATTATAAAGTACATTATTCTTACTTGAAACCAATATAATATTGTATATCAACTATGCTTCAATCAGCCAGTCAAATAAAGTATACCATCCTGCATGCAGCCAGAGCTACAGACAGCCAGGGAACTCTGGGACACTGTGGGAAACACCCACCTCAAGTTATCCCCCAGAAGGGATGTTTTCCCACCAGTTCACTCCAGTCACTAGATAAGAGCTGTTCCTCAGGACCAGTAAATCCTGGGCCCTTCTGACCGACCTGCTTTGTGCATGGGCAAAGCAGACTCCAGAACTGGACACAGAAGTCATGTCATGGTAGCTGGGAGTTGGGTGGGCCTGTGGAGAGAAATAAGGCTGGGGAGATATTGTAAGGAGAATTGTAAGGAATGTACAACTAACAAATTAATAGGGAAAAATAGAGTAACAAAAAATATTTGATAAATCCAAAGGAAGGCAAAAAGCAGGAGAGAAAATAGAAAGGTAGGCTAAATAGAAAGCCAATATTAGCATGATTAATATAAGCCCGACTATATCACGAACTACATGAAATGCAATGAACTAAATGCTCAAGTAGAAGTCTAAGATTGTCAGACTAGATTAAAAAGCAAAACAAAACTATGTGGTGCTTACAAAAGACACACTTTAAATACAAGGATATAGAGAGTCTGAAAGGAAAAGAATGATAAAAAGTATACCAGGCAAATACTAATCAAAAGGAAGGTGGTGTAACTATACTACTGATCGGAGTAAAAGAACTGCTAGAGATTAAGGGAACATTTCAAAATTACAAAGTGTCAATCCACTGGGAAGATATCACAGTCCTAAATCGCCATGCAGTCCATAACAACTTGAATATGTATAAAAGCAACCAACAGAACTCAAAGAAGAAATGGCCAGTCATCAGCATGGCAGGAGACTCCCCTCTCCATGGCTGATGAATGAGCAGGGGAAGAACCAGTAAGGATACAGCAGTGAACAACACAATCAACAAACCTGGCCTTCCTGGCATATATACAGCACTATAATCCAACAACAGAATTCACATTCTTTCCGTATTACACTTGAAATATTTACTAAAATTGACCATGCAATATAATGAGTTTTAAGAAATATAAATTTGGTCATTCATATGACCAAATACATATTTCTCAAGTATATTTGGTCTTCATCCACAGTTCCTGAAAACACTGCAGTCTTAAAGCTGAGATGGGTGTTTTGGCATGTTAATGAGGGACTTTTGGACCCCCCACCCAAGGGCAGGGGCTGGAGGTTGAATCAGCCACTGGCCAATAATTTAGTCAATTATGACTATACAATGAAGCCCTCACAAATACCCCTGAGAATAGCTTATTGCTCTCTTGAGATCCTGCTTCTCTTTTGGAGAGAGCTCCTATGCTTGGGGAATGGAACACATTCTTGCGCCACTGGGCACAGCCCCAAGCTCCATAAGGATAGAAGCTCCTTTATTTGGGACCTTGCCCTATGTCTCTCTTCATCTGGCAATTAACTTATATCCTTTACTAAACTGGTAAACGTTATGTGTTTTCCTGAGTTCTGCGAGACACTCTAGCAAATTAATGGAACCTAAGGGGAAGGTTGTGGGGACCTCCCGTCTGTAGCTGGCAGGTCAGAAGCACGGGTAATTGCCTGGGACTTGTGACCAGTGTCTGGAGTTAGTGGTAGAGAGCAGTCTTGTAGGACAGAGCCCTTAACCTGGGGAATCTGGTGCTGTCTCCAAGCAGATAGCATCAGAATTGAGTTGAGTTTTTGGACATTCTGCTGGTGTTAGAGAATTGCTTGGTGTTAGTATATGTGGAAGACCCCCTCCCCACAAACATACACACACACATTGGAATTGGGTCTGGGAACCCAAAAGAGTTATACTATTATATTACTGCTGTGTATAATACTATTACTGTTGCTGTATATGAGAAAACACACCACAGACTGCATGCTGTGCTTCAAAGAAATAAATAAGAAATTTCAAAGGATTAAGAGTAAAGATTTGGTCAGGCAAGAATGATTGATGGTGCTAAGGCTAAAGGGAAATTTGTATGATGAATAGAATATTTCCATAGTCTTAAAGTGTCTCTCTGCAGACTGCTTATTAGTTGAAAGGGAGGAAAAAATTAATAATTACACAATGGAGAAATCAGGCAAGACCTTATCCAGGTGATCTAAGTTAACATCAGCCATGGGGAAAGGGACCCAGGTGACTTCACATCTGATACCCTGAGAAGGACATCCCCTACTACGCAGTGTTCTGGCCAAGAATAAATCACCTCAATTTAATCATGAGAAAGCATCAGACAAACCCAAAACAAGAAATTATTTATTAAAAATAAAAAAGATGTAGGTGGGGGTGTAGAAAAGGTCAAGGTCAATGTCATAAAAGGCAAAGAAAAGCTGTGGAACATTCCAGAGTAAAAGTAACTAAAGTGACATGACAACTACATGCAATATCTGACTCTAGACTAGATCCTTCTCTGTAGGGAATTTTTAAAAATACTCTACAGGACAAAATTAGGTCAGCAGACAAAACTGGAATATGAACAGTAAATTAGCTAAAAGAATGGTGTAAATGTAAGTATTATCAGGTGTACTGTGGTTATATAGGAGAATATCTCTCTTAGGAAATGCACACTGAAGCATTTAGGGGTAAGAGGCCATCATGTAACATAAAATGGTTCTCTCTACCTCTCCCTCCCTCTAGAGATTCTGATGAGTATTTTAAAAGAACAGAGAGAGAGAGAAGGAGGAAGAAAGTGGCAAAGGAAACAGGAGTACAATATTAACAAGAGGTGAATCTGGATAAAAGGTGCTGGTGTACCTTTTCATTTTTGCAACATTTTTCCCCAAATAAAAAGTTGTTTAAAAATTAAGTCAGAATATATTTTCTCACCACTTTTAAATGTTTGAGAAATAATTCCAGTCTTTCACAAACTGTTCTCAATAACAGAAAAAGAGAAAAAATTATGTTCTTATGCTATTCCCACAATTTTGATTCCATAGTTAAGGATATCATAAGAGAAGAAATTATAGCCAGTCTCTCTCATAAACAGGTGTCAAAAAATCCTTAACAAAATATTATCATATAAAATATACCACTATATAGAAAGTATACTACATCCAAAAAAAAGTGGGGTTTCATATAGGTGTCCAAAAGTGGTTTCATTTGAAAATAAGTGCAATTTACCACAATAAAAGACAGATGTAGAAAAAAGCATTTTGCAAAATCACAATCTCCATTTATGATACATAAAATACAGCATACTAGAAATAGAAGAGAGCATCTTGAATCTGTTAAAAGGAAAATAAGTATAGCTATATCTTTCAATGAATAGTATTGGGCCAATATACCTTGATTCCTACCTGACACCATACAAAGTCAGTTCCAGTGGAGTGCAGATCTAAATATGAAGGTCAAAAAATAAATAAAAAATAAAAGAACATCTTCACGACCTTAAAATAGGCCAAGATTTCTTAAACAGCAAGTAAAAAAGCACTACCATGGAAGAAAAAATTGATAAGTAATATTTTCAACTTAAGAATTTCTCCTCATCAAAAAATGCTATTAAGAGTGAAAAGGCAATTGGCAGGAACTGCATCCAAAATATATTTAAAGAATGGCTACAAATCAAATGGAAAAGTAGACCATCTAACAGAAGAAGGGACAGAAGACTCAGAGGCCCTGAGAGCTACAAAGGACCAAAGAGCTTATGGGATGCAGATCCACTTCTTTAGTCACCCGGGAACATGCCAATTAAAAGCAGGAAGACTCCTCTCACGCCTAAAATGGTTAACAAGGAAACGCTGGAAAAAACCAAGCCTGGGGGTTTGTGGGGGTCAGTGAGCAGCGGGACTCTGCAAGGTGGAGTGAACTGGAAAAAGGCGCATGGAACAGGTTTGGCAAAATCTATGCAGATCCTGTGGTTCCAATGACACATTTGTTGTGAATGGACCCAGGAGAAAGATGATAGATAACAGACAGGGAAAAAAGGTGATCAGAGGTTAACCTAACAGCACTGTTCTTAATAGCCCAGAAATTGCCTAAATGTTCATCAGCAGCAAAGCTGATAAGTAAATAAATTGAAAAACACCAATACATTACTATACAGTAATAAGAATAGAAAGGCTTCAATTGCATGGGAAAAGCTCACAAATACCTAAAACAGTAAGTACATCCTGTTTGATTCTATTTATATGAAGACCAGCAAAATGAATCTGTATGTTAGAAGGTCAGAGAGTGGTGATTACTTGGAGGAAGGGAGGGGCACGAGGGGCCTCTGCAGCCTGGTAATATTGGTTGCTGAACTGAGTGCTGGATACCAATGGGTGCTCTGTCTCTTTGTAGAGATTCATGAAGCTGGACACTTATATGTACTTCTCTATGTGTTTCATACTTCAATAAAAAGTGTTTTTTTAAGTAATCATTTTTAGAGTCACAAACTCATGAACAGAAGGATTCTTAGCCTAGGGTCTACCAAAATGGACACTGCCTTTGTTCATTCAAGCTGTTAAAATAAAAATACCAATAAAAATTCACCTTGTAAACAACAGAAATTTCTTTCTCACCATTCTATATGTTGGGAAGTCCAAGATCAAGGCACTGGCAGACTTGGTGTCTGGTGAGGGCCCAATTCACAGAGAGTGCTTTTCACTGTCCCTCCAAGATGGAAGAAGCAAGGGAGCTCTCCAGGGTCACTTTTACAAAGTTACCAGTCCCAATCATGAGGGCCCCACCCTCATGAACTGACAGGACCCCAAAGACCCACCTCCAAATGCCATCACACTGGGAAATGGGTTTCAACAGATGAATTTTGGGGGACGTAAATCATCTATCTTCAGATACTAACCCGTGGGTGTTGAATAATAACACTAATCCTCTTAGGCCCATTCTACAAACGAGAAAACCAAAGCTCACCATTACAGGGTGGGACCCTCTGATCACAAACTCTGGATTATAGTGGCCAAAAGAAGGAGCCTGTTCCAAAAGGTCTTCATGAAGAGCCTGGCAAGGGGCACACGTCAGTGGTGTGGAGCAGACAGTATATAAAGCACTTTACAAAACATGGAGGGAATCTGATGTGCCATCTATGCAAGAAATGTATTACACATCTATCTTCTTATGGATAGAAATGTAGACCAGCTTGATAAAAATTATATATAAACAGGTAGAATGGTTAGACAAATACAGTGGTTACATAAATATTGAAAAAGTGTAGAATAGGGCTAACATTAATTCTAAGTGGACAAATGTACAGATATTCAAATATACAACACATTTCTCTGTTGATTGGTAAAGACAGACATTTGCTTGTATACAGTGGTTAAAT